ATGCTCAGCATCACAAGATAGAAAGACCTGCACATGGATAGAGAACAAATGATACCATCAAAAGAGTAAAAGAATGGAAATGGAAATGAGTTGGTCACATAGCAAGAAGAACTGTTGGCAGGTGGACTAAGGCAGTCATCGGATTCCACTTAATAAAAAGTGTCCACAAAAGAAACCTAAATAAGATGGAGTGACAACATCAGCAAGTATTGTGGGCCCAACTGGTAAAAGAAATCTCAAGATCATATTGGTTGGAAACATACAAAAGAGATCTTCATCCTGCAGTGGATAGACAATGGTTAGAATGGTGGTGATGATAAATAATTCAAGGTTTTCCTCCTCTTACTTTCCCACAACAACAATCCTGTGAGGTGGATCGAATTGAGAGAATGTGATTGGCACAAAGTCACCCAGCTGGCTTTCATACCTAAGGTAGAACTACAACTCAGTCTTCTAGTTCCAAATCTGGTGCCTTAACCACTAAACCTATCAGAAAATAATTCAATATTCTAGAGCTAATAATTAATTCTGTTGATATACCAGCTTTCCCCAGATTGAGTACATCTGAACCCCAATAAGTCTAAAATGTACCAAATATCAGTCTTTCCAAGACAATAGAATTATAGAAGTTTTTTCTACATCTAGCTCACCATTACCCATCTAACACAGAAATACTAATAAAAATCTAGCTTGAGTTTTTGAAGCTAAATATTAATTGGAACAGGATTATCATAAAGTCCCAAATCAGTATCAACAGGATCGCCTCAGTATGCTGAAATCTCTCCAAACAAGGTGAAGTCATTTAAACTATCATCTAGCCTAGTTCATGAGACAGGTAGATGCCAACAAAGTTCCATTTTGTCTTGAATATTCAGTTTCAGATGCCCATATTCAAAACATGAAGGCTGTTGATGTTTCTTCCTTTCAGTTCTACTTGTTGCCAACTGTTTATTTAAAAGCCCCAGGTTAAAAAGGATGGCAATCTCTCTTCTTGCCTTGGTCTTTATAAAAGAAATCATGTCAACAGGCTATGCAGGATTCAGACGAGTGAATGGGAAAAATCTGCTGGTGGGATCCAGCAACAGAATTGTTAAGGCAGAGGAGCATTCACCAAACTGGGCAATAACCAATGCCTTGTAACACTTTATTTTCCTAGCTGCCTACCCATCACTACAAGCTTTTTTTGCTGTCTAAGACAATGATCCCTTTTGCTAAACAGTTGCCTTTTAATATGTATTTTAACGAGTTACTTCTGCTTTTCAGACTCCACTTTTATGCCATTCTTCAACAAAGTGACTAAACTAATAGACCAGGAAAATGCAGTGGACATAGTATACTTAGACTTCAGTAAGGCATTTGATAAAGTAGACCACAATCTACTCCTTGTAAACTAGAAAAAGCTGGAATAGACAACATCACCACCAGATGGATCTGAAGCTGGCTGGCAAACTGTACTCAAAAAATAGTCGTCAACTGCACTACATCCACATGGAGAGAAGTATAAGCAGTGGGGTGCCACAAGGTTCCATCTTAGGTCCAGTACTCTCCAATATCTTCATCAATGACTTAGATGAGAGAATTCAAGGGGAACTCATCAAATTTGCAGATGACACCAAACTGACAGGAGTAGCCAACACCCCAGAAGACAAACTCAGGATCCAAAAAGATCTTGACAAACTTGAACAATGGGCCCTATCCAACAAAATAAAGTTTCAATGTGGAGAAAAGCAAAGTTTTACATTTAGGTAGGAAAAATCAAAGGTACAAGTACAGATTGGGCAAGACCTGGCTTAAAAACAGTAACTATGAGAGGGACCTTAGAGTCCTAGTGGACAATCACTTAACCATGAGCCAGCAATGTGCAGCAGCAGCCAAAAAAGCCTATATAATCCTGATTTGTATAAACAGAGGCATAGAATCAAGTTCACGTGAGGTATTAGTACCACTTTATAAAACCCTAGTAAGACCACACCTGGAATACTCAGCCAATTTTGGTCATCATATCACAAAAAAGATGTTGAGAGCTTGGAAAAAAAATCAGAAAAAAGCAACTAAGATGATCAAAGACCTGGAGACTAAAACATATGAAGAAAGGCTGCAGGACTTGGGTTTGGCCAGTCTAAAGAAAAGAAGAAATAGGGGAGACATGATGTCAGAATCCATTTCTTTGGTGGGGGGCATTTTTCGTTTCTTTTTCTCTTCTATGAGTTCTGCCATACTCCTGGGGGAGGGGGGAGACCTTTTAGGGATTGTATATGTATTGCCCTTTTGCTTAGCTGCTACAATGTATCCTCTCTGTTTCCTCTATCTGCTTGCTCTTTGAACTATTCTCCCCTTGATGTCAATCTGGGGTGAGAAAGGAATGTGACTCGGGCCATCTGTCTTATCTCTTGCTACGGAAGAGAAGGTGCGAAGACTCAGTGTTTTCAGAGCCTTGGGAATGGGTGTCTTTTCAGCCTCGTTTCCATAGCGGACTTAACACCTGGGGATTGGCTCATTTGAACTGACCGAATGAACTGTTGGGGTGGGGGTTGCTTTTTGCTCCTTTAACCGATTGATTTGAGCAGGAAACCCTCAGATCTTGCCTGCTGTCAACTTCTCCTAATAAAAGTTCCTTTTGGGATGAATCTGTTCCAAGAGTTCTGCTTTCTTGGAAAGAGGTTTTGAAGTAGGTCCTTACACATGATAGCAGTATTCCAGTATTTGAGGGGCTGACACAAAGAAGAGGGAGTCACATTATTCACCAAAGCACCAGAGGGCAGGACAAGAAACAATGGTTGGAAACTGATCAAATAGAGAAGCAACCTAGAATTAAGGAGAAACTTCCTGACAGTGAGGACAATTAACCAGTGGAACAGTCTGCCTCCAGAAATCATTGGCACCCCAACACTGGAGATTTTTAAGAAGAGGCTAGACAGTCACTTGTCTGAGATGGTATAGGTTCTCTTGCTTGAGCAGGGGGCTGGACTAGAAGACCTCCAAGATCCCTTCCAGTTCTGTTCTATTCTATTCTAATTCTAATTCTAATTCTACATGGTTTTACACACTAATTTCAGTCTTGTTTTACTGTTTTCTGGCTTTATGTTTTGCCTAGTTGTGCTTTACAGCTAACATTATCCTTATTGGATTGGTTACATATGGTTTTGTACTGATTGTAATAAAACAGCTATCTTTCCATCCATCCAATCAATAAAATCTGGCCTCTTTTTAGAATACTTCCTTTAACTTTAAAGATGCTGTACCTAATAAAGGAAGATGTGCAGTACAGCACCTCCTCATTCTAAGTGCTTCAATCTAGATAGAAATGAATATAAGTCTATGGTAATAGAATGACAGATTTACTTATGCTGATCAAATGTTTGGGAAATTTACAGATTTGCTACTTAACGTCTAATCAGTATTCTGGGAAAATAGTATTTTCTCATATTGCCTTCATTTGACTGTGACACACGCAACTGTATGTCCATTTGTACTCAATCTTGCTATGTGAAAATATTTTAAAATTTTGTCTGTCACATTTTATTACCAAGTTTTCAAAATAAGATAAAATAATCTTTATTGTCATTTTTTGCTGTGAGCACATTGGCCCACATTAAAAATGAAATTCTGTTGTTGCCTACTCTCAAAAGAAAGTATATATCTACCCATACACATACATAACCCACATACATACATACATACATATATATATTAATGTCCATTTTGAATAGATGTAGCTTACAAAACATAAAAGCCCCAACCTTCTAAAAAACAGCATATTTCAAGTGATTTTTGAAATAGTCACTGGTAAGGAAATTTTGGAGAGTGAGTATGTAAACCCACAGTGATATAATTTACTAGAGATTAGAGCTACATAATATAGAATTGAAAAGACCAGCCCTTTCTTGCACTTCAGAAAAGTGATACATCCATCACTAAGGATTCATTCATTTCCCAGAAGCTTTCCTATCCCATTTCTGATACTTCTTCAGGTCCCTTGGAAGAAGTCAAAATGCATACAGTCATCAAGCTTTCAAGCCTCAATGACTGTATGCATTTTCAGGCCTATAACCAAACACTTCAGCATGGCTCATTAGCCATCATCCTAATAACAGGGTTAATCCATTCCCAGATATTATTTTTCCAGTCCTGGAGTTCTCATTCTATTTCCAGGTCTGCCCTAATGATCACCGGAGCCTTCAGGCTACATCTTTCTAGCCTGTCCTAAGTATTTCTCATTGTTTATCCATTTCACTGGACAAGTATCTAATGCTCAAACAGTATTTTTATCAAGATATTTACATAAATATCACGTAAATAAACAGTAACAAAAATGTTTCCATTTCCGGATCTGAAGCAATCCTAACCTTTTCTACCTACCATTAATTTCCTTCCTTCTAGGAAGGAAACAGTGTAGCCTGCGCTGCCTTCTGCGGAACCCAATCATGCCAATAGTAGACCTAACTCCTCCCTTGATTTCCTACGGGCCTCCGGAGAGCTCCCGAGGTTTTCAAAGGGTGTTGCATAGCTGAAAGGAAGATCAGGTCCTGCCACAGGACTCCGAAGAGAGGGAAGATGGCAACGTCTTTTGCTGTAAGAAGCAGGGCTGCGGAAGCCTCGGAAAAGGAGATTTGAGGGGAAAGCCCTGCTGGTACGAACCGAGAGAGGCTTAACGCGGAGCTGTGCACTCGGAGAACGAGCAGAAGTTGAACCCGGAATATTTCGGAATATGTGGGGCTGCGAAGAGGGGCCAGACCCTCCCCGCCCCCCAAGCCCACGAGATTGGAGGGCCTCTCGCGTAGCCACCCCCTGCTGCGACCCTGGCCACAGGGACTCACCGACGGAGTACAGGGTGGGCTCAGCAGCTGCAACCCCACCGAGGGGACCATCCTCCTCCGAGGAGGCCTCTCTGCTCCCGTATCCCTATGTGCACTCATACAAAATCCCACCCACCCCTCCCTGAACAGCCAATGGACGACCGATTCCCCTCCCACTTCTGTCAATCAGCGATCCAGAACAAGGCCACCGAGCATGGAGAAAGGAGAGGCCGGCCCACGAGCGCTTCATTGGCTGAAGTGCCAGCCAATGAGCGCCCCAAAGGTTTGAGATTGACGTTCAATGGGTTAGATTGAGAAGAAATCGGAACTGCCTTGGAGGCAGCGCGCTGTGAGATGCGGAGCAAGAAGGCGAGAGGTTCGGAGCATTTCGGAAAGGCGACAGTCGAGGGAGCGCAATCCTGTTTGGAAGTCAGTCCAGATTCGTTTTCTCTGCCATTTTTTGTCTGTCCCCGGGTATTACACAGCAGATATCTGACTTGATTCATACCATTCTCAAAGACTGTGTTTCTCAACCTCAGCAATTTTAAGATGTATGGACTTCGACTCCCAGAAATCCCTAGCAAGCATAGAATTCTGGGAATTGAAGTCCATACTTTTATTTACTGGTATTTGTTTATTAAGAATTTTCACAAAGTAAAAGACAAAGGAAAATCAGAAAAGTGGAAGAAAAGGGAAAAAAGTTAATATATAAGTGAATTCTGACCTTTTCAACACATTACAATTTTATTGGCCCTCCTCAATTATTGTTTTTATTTTAACCCTTCACCTCCCTCATTTAATCTGCATTTTTCTTAATATTCAAATCCATGTCATTTTATTTTTTCTTCTGTTAGAAAAATGTCCATATAACGTTTTTAATCTTTCAAAATGTTTTTGTTGTTTGTTCTCTGACTAAACAGGCCAGTTTCATTATGTTTGCAAATTCTGATATTTCCCCACTGAGAATTTTTATTATTCTTCCATCACTGAAGTTCTGCTCTAAGACAAAATGTGGTCTGGTTGCTAGGAGCTTAGCTCTTGTGGTTGTAAAGTATGCAAAATCTCAGCCCAAAGAATGCTTGAATTTTGATACTACATGCTACGGTAAATACGAGGATGTCAAGAATGAAACTTTGGCAGCTACGTGCCTCTTTGTTTCAACTTGCCATTAGAGTAAGGGGAAGGAGGTGTTGCTTTAGAATTGGTTAGATGGAGAAATGAAACCTCTATGATTCTGCTGAAGACTGTGAGAGCCTGAAACCTTTCCAAGGACACTGCAGCAGTTGTGAAGAGGGAGCAGATGGTTCCCATAACAAAGTGAAATTGTTTATATCAGCGGTTCTCAACTTGTGGGTCACGACCCCATTTGGGATCGATTGACCATTTCACGGGGGTCGCCAAACAATGCGATCCGCCATTTTTTTTTGTCAGCCGGCGCAGGGGGCGGCGCCGCGCATGCGCGCCGCCTGCTTATGTCCAGGGTCGCCGTATAAAAAGGTTGAGAACCACTGGTTTATATGAACTACGTGAGAGGGTAGGGGTTTGGCTGGAGAAATTATTGTTTAATTCTATGAATGGTGTCTAGGAACCTCAGAGTTAGTTTTGTTTTGACATTACCATACCATGTATTTAATAAACAGTAGGATTTTCAGAACTGGAATGAACCTGGAGTTTTATTTGAATTCTCGAACTGTAAGTTGACATTAAACTAACTTTCTCTAGCAGCCTAACTGGGCCATTGTGAGGTCTGCAATGGACAAGAAGACAGATGGAGGGGTACAACAGGAAGAAGGTCCCCTCCTGCGGTCGTCGACTATAACCCAAAAGGAGTGACAGACTCATTGATAGGGACTCATCCGAAGCAGAAAGCTGGATCGATAGAGTCACCACTTACTGCTGAAAGAGGAAGGCCCACGGAGGCTCCTTGCCCGACACCAAGAACTATTGGGTGAGTGGCCTCAGGAAGGCATCAAAAGCTGAATTTCCTCTGACTTTATTAGGGGCTTGCCAACAAAGGGAACCAAGAGGGCAGCAGAATGGGGAGAGCTGGTGGAGTGGAGGCTTCCTGTGACAGCTTGTAGCTGGAGCAATTGCAAGAGAAGTTCAGGGGATTGGAGGTTTGAGGAGCTGCCTCACCAAAGTGGTTAGTTGTGGGTTCCACTCATCCACTTGCTACACCATCTCCACCCTCCCGACAGAGGTGGCTTTGGGCTGGTCTGGAACATCAGAGGCTGCACAGCAGAGGTTGCTGTGAGACCGTATTCTAGCAATTGCTATCCTGACAAGTTTTGGGACACCACCTGGCTGTCGGGCAGCCTACAGGAGAGAGACTCAGGCAACATCACAGGGAGCTGACCTACCACTTTGATATGTACTGGTACTAGAGGATCAACAGCCTCATCCTTTTAAAGTCATGTTTGACAGCCGACCGGAAAAGTTGGCTTACATTCTGACCCAGGTGTGAAATTACTTAGAAAGATTTGGAGGAAGACATCCTGATGACAGATTACGTGTGAATGCTATTTCCATGAGCCTGGAAGGGGATGCAGTGGGGTGGTTGGTGTCCTTATATGATGAGGCAGCCCCAGAGCTCCATGATGTGGATGCCTTCATGAAAGAAGATTTGAAGATCCCATCGAGGCAAGGAAGGCAGATGTGAGAATCCAGACGATCAAGCAAGGGATGTGACCAGTTGCTGAATATATTAGGGAATTTCGTAGCTTAGTGTCTTGTGTAAGAGGGTGGCCTGAGCATATGTTGATCTACCACTTCCGAGATGGATTAAACAACTGTATTACTATTGTCTACTCAGAGAGGTGCCCAATCTCCTGAGAGATTGGTACCAGTTGGTTACCAACATGGAGTTAGATATGATAGGTTACTGACATCACACTAATCAAGATAACTAATCTTGTCGTGCAGCTGAGAGGCACCTGGCTGGCCAAGAAAGCAAGCAGACTGTTCCAGAGACCAGAAGGGAGAGATCTGGGTATGGGAGCGTGTTTCCAGTGTGGAAAAGAGGGGCATCAAGCCACAGATTGCCCTACATCACACCCAATGTCAGCACGTCAAGCTCCAAGCAAGTTTAGGACAAAGATGTTGGTACCAAAGTCCAAAGAAAAAACAAAAATCACTCAACAGGTCATGGAGATCTCTTCCCCATCCAGTGAAGGGGAGGATGATCCAATGGTAAGTGGCCCTATTTCTCCAATGACTACCAGGATAGAACTGTGCACTCCTCGGGATTTATGGCGACTTCTCTGCCGGGACATTTTTAAGGGCTTTTAAGAAAAAGGATTTAACCTTCCAAGACGGATTGCCCTGGTGGGCCTCCCCCCTCTCCTAAACGACGACAGCTCCAAAGCCGGCTTCGTAGTTCTTGACTACGAGGAGAACTCGACGGGAGGAAAGGGAATTAACGCATAAGCAAAGCATTCCAGTCTGAGGATCCATGAGGGTGACAGTCAGGTCTTAAATCAACAAAGGAGTCTGGAAAACGCCTGCAGGCAAGTATTGTAAAACGGGGGAAACCTGATCCCTTTTGGATCGGAAGAGGGGACTGATCACCCCCTGAGAAGGCAAAGGTGGCGTCCTTAAGCCTTCAATAGGCAGGATTGTGTGGGAGGTTAAACCATTGTAGCTCATGCTTGAGTGATCAATGGTAGTGTATTAGAGAGATGGGTGGGAAAAATCAAAGGAGAGCGTTGACCAGACGCCACTCCAGTGCATGTTAAAGAATTTCAAAAAGGTTTTTTTTTAGGGATTATGGAGATCCAAAACCAAATCCAGCCATGTTAAAAAGATTATGTGAATCTGAGTGGACTGCCCTGGGCATAGGGTGGCCAAAAATGGGATCGGCGAATCCCGAACTTGTTGCATGGGTTCATCAAATTGTGACTGGAAATGGTTATTGGGACCAGTACCCCTATATTGACCAATGGAAAATCAACATTGCACAGAGCCCAGATGGTTAGCAAAATGTCAGATAGAGTGTGCAAAGATATATTTGGCAAGCCAAAAAGCCAAGACTCAAACAAAAGCTAAGATTTTCAGCCAGGAAGATAGGGAGGAAATTGCCAGACCATCCCCCTATGTTCCTAGAAGAGAAGAAGGGAGAATAAATCAGCAAATTCCACTCCCTCTGCCTGAAAGAGAAGCCCAATTTCAGCCAGAAGCCGATGAGGAAGGAAAATTAGCAACAGCTGGATCCCTTCAAGAGACAGATAAAAGCTTGAATAACTTTGAAGAAAACAAAACTGTTTCTAGCCGAATCAGAAGCAAGTTAGAAATGAAAACAGAAGAAAATATAGCCCCTCTAAGAGAGGTGTTGGTCTCTGGACCAGATAACACTATTATTTCAATGCTACAATATGTTCCGTAACCGTGACAGGGAGGAGGAAACCAAATCAGATCAAAAAGAAAAAAAGAAAGTTGAAATGTTAGCCGTGGCATTGGGAGGAACATGCCTAGGACCCAATCAGTGTGCCATCTGTAAACAAGAAGGACACTGGCAAAGGGAGTGCCCCCAGAGGAATGGCCAACCCAGGGGACAATCTCGCCAGTATGGAAGAGGAAGGAAGAGGATTTAGAGGGACTTTCCAGAGAGGCTTCAGAAAGAGCTTCAAAGGAAGAGGGCATCCAGTTTATCCCAATCAGACAGAGGAAAGAGAAGAAAACATGATCGGCTTAGCTGACATGGAATGGGAAGACTGAAGAGGACAGGGTTCTATCGCCCCACCCCCAGAGCCCATTGTTAAAATAAGGGTGGGAGGACAGGTTGTCCCGATGCTAGTTGACACGGGAGCCACCAGATCTGTCCTAAATAAATCCATTGGCAAGCAATCAAATCCTTGTGGTAGCCTATATTTAAAAATTCGCCAACGTGCTTTAGTCAAGCCCTAGCCCAAGATCTTGCTTATCTGAAGTTATTCAGACAAGAGGATTGTTGCCTTCAATATGTCGATGATGTCTTAGTAACTGGCCAAAGCAGGGAGGATTGCTTTGAAAACACGTCCAGACTGCTCCAATTGTTACAAGACTGTGGTTATAGAGCATCCAAAAAGAAAGCACAATTAGTTCAAGAGACTGTAATGTATTTAGGCTATGAACTTTCACAAGGACAAAGAACTTTGGGCCCCCAGAGAAAGCAAGCTGTGTTACAGATTCCCATCCCACAAACAAAACAGGAAGTTAGAGCCTTTTTGGGAATTACAGGCTTCTGTAGAATTTGGATTCCTAACTTCGCTCTCACAGCTAAACCATTGTACCAAGTTTTAAGGGGACCAGAAAAAGAACCTCTTTTGTGGCAAGAGGAACAAACCCAAGCAATGAGACAATTGCAACAGGCTCTCACCACAGCCCCCGCCCTAGGACTACCTGATATATCTAAGCCATTTTCACTTTATGTGGATGTAAGACAAAATGTAGCTTTAGGGGTCCTTACCCAAAAGCAGGGAAGTTGGAACCTCCCTGTCGCTTATCTGTCAAAACACCTGGACATTTCTTCACAAGGCTAGCCCCAACGTTTAAAAATTCTAGCAGCAGTTATGCTATTACTACAGGAGGCAAACAAGTTAACCTTTTCAGCTCCAGTGACTGTTTATACTAGTCATGCCTTGCAGACAATCATTGACAATAAAGGACATTTATGGATAAGTAATCAACGAATGCATAAAATACAGGCTCTTTTATTAGAAAATCCACAAGTTACACTGCAACAATGTTCAACTTTAAACCCAGCAACTCTAATGCCAATTCCTGATTCAACCAAACCTGTTCATAACTGCATGCAAACAATAGAACTACAATATTCTTGCAGACCTGACCTTACAGACCAACCCTTGCATAATCCAGACTATCAATGGTTTACTGGTGGTTCTAGCTTTATGGATAAAGGATGTAGATACTCTGGTTACGCAATAGTTTCTCAAACTTCTACTGTTGAGTCAGCATAGTTGCCTAGTTAAGCCAGGAGATAGAGTGTGGGTAAAGCACTGGAAATCAGATCCCTTGAGCCCAAGATGGAAAGGACCGTATACTGTTGTCATGTGTTCTCCTTTGGCAGTGAAAACCTTGGAAGGAAAGTCTTGGATCCATTGGAGTAGAGTGAAAGCGGCAGCACCTGCAGATCTGGTGACCTACAAGGTGGACAAGACTGACAAGCCTTTGGTGTTGAAATTTACAAGAAATACAGCAACAGGTTCCCAAGACATGGTGTGATCAACAACCTTGCTGAGACACCCCAGGAAGCTGTCTCTCTACGCACAGTGGAAGATATGAGGATTCTACAGCTCATAATATTTGTTAATTATTTAATTATTTAATTTGTTAATTATTTAACACACATTCCTACACAAATCAGTACAATGGCTACACGAGAGGTCATAATGCAGAAACCCTCTAATAAAGAATTATTGAGTAGCACACACCAAGAAAGAGCAGAAACACAGGGAAACCAAGGTTGTCAAAACTGTATCAAAACTACAAAACAAGGAAATCAGATAACCAAGACTTTGATTTACCATACAGTTAAACCAGAAGGGTGTCAAGATAGTTCTCCTGACTCTTGTACATACAATAGAACTACATATAAATTTTGTAGAAAAGGTGTCCAATATCAGTGTTATAACCTGAAGTCTGATCCTGATCGTTGGGCCTTACAAATCAAAACACATAGAACAAGAACCTTTGTTAAGTTAGCAGAAGACATTGCCCATACTTTAGGCGTGTCTAACTGTTTTGTGTGTGGTGGAACAAACATGGGAGAAAGGTGGCCATGGGAGGCACAAGAGTTAAATTATACCAAGGTACTGGAAATGTCTAAAAATAATAATTTAACCTATACAAGTGGGAAAGATGGTGATTGGGCGCTCACTTCCAACTTGGTAGGACATGTATGTTACTCAAGAAACAAAACAGAATCTTGTGTAGCAGTAGGTGACCTCCTATGCACAGGTAATGTGGGAAAGAAATAGAATAACATAGAATAAAGAAGAATAAAGTAAAATAATAATAATAATAATGAAAAATCACTAAAAGCAAAAATCATGTGTCTGCATAATCTCTGAAAGAAAGCTGTGTTAGCCAAAAGCTGTATTAACAGTACGTGAATGACCTAATGCATATTTAGAAACATTGTATAAAAGTAAAAACTGCCTTCATTGTTATTCTCATGAGAAATGGAGCTAACATGTGAGAAACTATCTGAATGTTACACAAAGTAGATTCCATATACAATGTAAGATTCCATCTATGCTTCCTTTGTTCCTGAGAGAAAGAAACCTATAAAGCTTTAGTTTAGACCCTCCCCCTTGTTCAGAAATTTGCTTTGTTAAGTCACTTCTGAACCTTTTTGCTCAAAAATAAAGATCTCTCTTTCACCCATGGAATTTCGTAAAAGCCCTTTATTTTTTTAAGGCTTTATTTTTCCACAAGATTTATGGAACGTCCGCTGGGACGTTTTTAAGGGCTTTTAAGAAAAAGGATTTAACCTTCCAAGACGGATTGCCCTGGTGGGCCTCCCCCCTCTCCTAAACGACGACAGCTCCAAAAGCCGGCTTCGTAGCTCTTGACTACGAGGAGACTTCGACGGGAGGAAAGGGAATTAACCCATCAGGAAGCATTCCAGTCTGAGGATCCATGAGGGTGACAGACAGATCTTAAATCAACAAAGGAGTCTGGAAAACGCCTGCAGGCAAGTATTGTAAAACAGAGGAAACCTGATCCCTTTTGGATCGGAAGAGGGGACTGATCACCCCCTGAGAAGGCAAAGGTGGCGTCCTTAAGCCTTCAATAGGCAGGATTGTGTGGGAGGTTAAACCATTGTAGCTCATGCTGAGTGATCAATGGTAGTGTATTAGAGAAATGGGTGAGAAAAAGTCAAAGGAGAGCGTTGACCAGACGCCACTCCAGTGCATGTTAAAGAATTTCAAAAAGGGTTTTTCTAGGGATTATGGAGATCCAAAACCAAATCCAGCCATGTTAAAAAGATTCTGTGAATCTGAGTGGACTGCCCTGGGCGTAGGGTGGCCAAAAATGGGATCGGCGAATCCCGAACTCGTTGCACGGGTTCATCAAATTGTGACTGGAAATGGTTATTGGGACCAGTATCCCTATATTGACCAATGGAAAATCAACATTGCAGAAAAACCGAGATGGTTAGCAAAATGTCAGATAGAGTGTGCAAAGATATATTTGGCAAGCCAAAAAGCCAAGCCTCAAACAAAAGCTAAGATTTTCAGCCCGGAAGATAGGGAGGAAATTCCCAGACCACCCCCCTACGTTCCTAGAAGAGAAGAAGGGAGAATAAATCAGCAAATTCCACTCCCTCTGCCTGAAAGAGAAGCCCAATTTCAGCCAGAAGCCGGTGAGGAAGGAAAATTAGCAACAGCTGGATCCCTTCAAGAAACAGATAAAAGCTTGAATAACTTTGAAAGTGAAACCTCAGTTTCTAGCCGCACCAGGAGCAAGTTAGAAATAAAAACAGAAGAAAATATTGCCCCTCTAAGAGAGGTGTTGGTTCCTGGACCAGATAACACTAACATTTCAATGCTACAATATGTTCCTTTTACAACCACAGACCTTTTGAATTGG